GCGTAGTTGAGCTGAGCTTAATCAAATCGCAAATCCGGTGCAACACCTTGAAACTAGGTCTTGCGCTTTTGTGCTACCCAGCGTCAGAACTTCGATGGACCTTTTCGACCAACGTTTATTCAAAGGTATACGTATTCATTGAGGCAGGGCTTGCTGACAGTACAGTTTGGGCTACTTTTATTAGAGATTGATTTCATCTGCTCCAGCGGTCACGCTAGCACCATAAGGAATAGCCGGTGGTGGGCTCAATCGCTGTCTAAGTAGGCACTGTGAGCCTATCACAATGACTGACACCATCAAACACATATACCGCAAGGTTTGGGCACCCAAGCTCTATTAGCAGTTGAATTCATTCCACTAGCTACATTCATTGCGGGCCGATATCCCGACAATCCGACAAACACAGGTGCCTTAAAAGGCAGTGATTACGATAGATTCAAGAAGGTTTAGAGGAGACGTGGTGGTGCTCAATGGTACGCCAGTGGCGAAAAAAGCGGAGAAATCCGTCAAAAAACGCAAAACGGGACCCCTTTTTGGCCGTTGGTTTTCACTCATGAACAGGTAACAGCTCAGAAAGCGGACGTATGAACGAGTTCACGCAACGCGTTTGGTGGCACCATGCCAAACCACGCTCCAATCGAGTTGCTCCAGTTGTGCCGCTGCTGGCAACGCAGCTCGTCCAAATCACCAACTAAACTAGTGGGCGGATCGCTTTTGGGGGCGGAGTGCTTTCGAAGTCCTGCTCAGCAACCAGCGCACCTTTCGTCGTGAAAGCGCTACACCTCGCTTCCCTGGCAGCCAAGTAACTGATTCGTGTGGTGCATATGCTTCCCGATGCGCTCCCACTTTATCGTAATCGCTGCCTTTAAGCAACAGCTCCAGATCAATAGAGCTGGTGGAATATATTAATAGAGCAGCTATTACATGGATATGTCATACACAAAGCCCCGCGAGCATCACAATTGTACCTTTGTCGCAACTCGAAAGTGCGCGACGATGGCGCTAGGACCTCACGAAGTGAGCTGATGAAGTTCAACGTGGGCTGATGGATAAGCTCCCTCACGCCCGACACAACGGCTACTTTGAATTCGCACGGGTCAGTGAAAGCAAACTCAGACAACTCGTCCGGATACGCCGCTCCCTCATTTCCAGAAGAACGAGAATGAGTCTCCGTTTAAGGGCTTCATCAACGGTTTGTTTGCTTTTTTCACTTTCAGTGAACTCGGTATCCACACGTTCATTATCGATGGGGTCGTCCCACCAATGTGATCTGGGGTTGTTGATTCAAATTGATGGAGCAACTTGTCGTATGACGTATTATTGGCAATCACATTGAGGCAGAAGCTTCTTTCCTCAAAACGAGGACGAATAAGAGAACTATTCTGTCATCCACTGCTCGGCTGGGCCCGACGCGGCTATGTACGGTAGATTCCTCAGCGACTGCACGGAAAACGAAAGCACAGCCTGTAAGAACTCACCTCAAGTGACCAAAACTTAATAAGAAAATGCCTAGTCAGAGAAGGTCGCCGAGTCGCTCAACATGCCATTTGCAATGATGTGTCACCGTTGCGCCCGCCTTGAGACGGAACTCAGAACTCAGAACCTCAAAACTGCTTTCCAATTGGCTTAGCGATTCCGTGAACGGAGTTGAAATGCGCAAAAGTTGCGCAGTGGAAGATTAACGGCTCACAGACAGAAGGACGTTGGATCAACTCTCCGCTGAGCTCGCTCTAGAGTATTCTTTTCGCGCAACGGGAGCTAGTAAAGACTTGACATCATCAGCGTCAGTGGCGTGCCTCAGAGGGGCTGCTAATGAAGCGGTTGCCGACCAGTTGGTACTTTCGGTCATAACACCACAGCAAGTAGGCAGGCGATAAATCTTAGCATGATTCAGCCTCTAAAATCGTCCACCGGATTAGAAACAGATAGCAGTGTTGAGCTCACCACGGTCCCGCGATGATTGTGGTGATGTACATTCACTGAAGTGATCGAACCAACTGCTGACACTCCCTGGTAAACACAAAGGAATAATAGGCCTTATAACCTTATTGAACGATAGCGTGCCTATAAAACAGCAGTGGTGAGAACTCAACAATTCGTCCCGTCTGAAAGCTGAAGCAGCTAAAAAAAAAGAACCAAGCATTGCTGTGGCTCTATGGGAAGTGAGCTCTAGTTTTCCTCAATGTAGGGTAAACCTAGTACTTTCTTGCAGGACTTGTTAGTTGGGAACTGTTACCTCTGAACACTCTTAGTACATGGTATAGAGAAAGCTCCCACTGTCTATATGATACATGGAAAACTGGTCTTTCTTGCAGAAGCTGAAAAATTGGCTAATGTTGCGATAAGGATCGGATCACGATTACCGAGAGGGATCCATCGCCGGCGCCGACTTGATCGCCGCAGCCGTTCAGGACGGGTTTCTCGATGCCAAACGCGACACCGTGGATAGCCAAGGCCATTACCCGATTTTCACGCCTACACATTTTGCTATAAAAGCTTCAGCGGAAGGTGAATGAACAACGGCAAGCAGCTCAGCTTCCACGGTAAGCTTCTACTCATTCTTTACTCATTGTTCTCTTTGCAATGAGAATTTGCATCAGGAAAAATAAATCCTTATTTTCCAGATGAAGGCTATATTTTTTGCTATCGGACTTCTGGCAATCTCCGCCATCGCATTCGCTGAAGAGGAGAAGGTAAGTGGCCTTGCCTATCAGCGAGTAGCTTTACAAACCTTTTTTGTGCTGATATTGATCATTGTTTTTACAGAAGGAGCTCAGTGAGGAAGGCCAGGAGGTTTTGACCCAACTCAGAGAGCTGAGAAAGGAAGAGGAAGACGCACTTGAGGCTATTGACGATGAGGAAGAGAAGAACTTGGTAAGTGTGATCATCAATTGTGATGAAAACCTTCTGCAAAACAGTCCCTCAAACCTCCTTTCCAGATCACCAAAATACTTGAGAAGGAGGAAGACGATGAGGATAAGCTCGAGGTAAGCAGCGGTCTTGCATCCCCTGCCATTACCAAAATTGTTCTCGAAAAATCAAATGGTTTTTACAGAAAACCGAAGAGTCCACCCGTGTGAAGCGAGCTGTTCGTAGACGCGGACGCCGCAACGGTCGTGCCGCCCGTGCTCGTGCCGCCAGAAGAGTGAGTCAAGAGATCAGTCATAACCCTAACAACAACGGACAACTGTCACATTTCAGCGTTTCGCTCGCCGACTTCGTCGCAACCAGCGCCGTGCTGCCAACAAACGCCGCGCACACGCCCGCCGTCACCGCAAGAACCAACGTCGGGCTGCCAGAAAGACCCGTCGTCTGCGTCACCGCGGATAAATTAACAGAGTCGAATAATTTATCGAATAAATTTCTATCTTATTCTGTTGACTGTGATCAATTGGGACGAACTGGCACCTCCTGTGGATCCGAGTGCTTGAACTAGTCTTTGAATGGTCACTGAAAAAGCTTGAGTCAATGACATACACGGTCTACGGACAACTTGAACTCGGCCCTTTAAACCGCCTCGATTTGACGCTCTCGCCTGCGCTCTCTCGCTTAACCAGCGGCTTATGATTACTGTGATCTGATGTATTCAAACTTTGCCACAATGTAATTGGCTCACCACTCGGAGTCCCTCCTCCCTCCAAGGCTTAGTCCTAGAGCTCTCACCTTCCTTGTTGGGATTTGGAGCCGAGCCAGGCACCGTTCTCTAATCGTCTGTGCTCTGGCCTTCCTCAGCAACATATCAATGTCATGAACTATCTTTCCATGGAAGCCTCTGAAAACTTCGCCTCCCAACCTCTCTCTTTCTTTTTCTCCTTCCTTCTCCCTCTCTCTCTCTTTTGGTGCACGGACTGTTCGAACCTCACGCATAAAATCCATTTTTGCTGTTCATTCAATTCTTCTATGGAACAACTTTTATCTGATGGTGCAGTGTTTGGTGAGAACGAATCCCTTTTGAAAGTCGGCTGGTTACCATTTTTAGTACTCATCTTTTCTCCGCGTAAGAGCGTTGCTCTTAGGAAAGAGCACCTTCCGTCTCAACACTCACAGATGGTCAGATTAAGGGTTTTCGTATCCGAGTGGCCGTCTTATGGACCCTTCATCGATGGTTGCGTCAGATTTTTTCCAACGATTTTATCAAAGCATCTCCATCAAGCTCTGCTGGCCTTCCAGAACGTAGCTTATTTTTCAAAGGAATTTTTTGAAGCCATCGAGAAGCGAAGTGTTTCTGACAGTTGCCGTGGCTGCTTCCTTTTTTGAACTTTAAAGCATATTAACTCTCTTCTCACTTCCGTTGTGACGCTGTAAAATCAAAAAGATGTGTAACGTTTGTAGCTCAAACTTTTCATAAAAACGGGAAGTGTAAACCTTAAGCTTTGCTACAGGAGCTTATTTGGGAGGAATGGTTGCTTTTCCCTTCTCTTCGCAATGTTTAAATGGATTACAAAATGGCAATTTACTTTTGAGATGACCCGATTGATATTAGCAGTAAGGGTGTTGGCAGCGGGGGATGCAATGGGAAACGTGCACTTATGATTAGGGTCATTGCCATAGCTGGAAACCTTCACCATGTCTGGTAGCCCAGTTCAAGACTAGAGAATATTTTATAATCTCAAAAGTTTGATTCCTGTCCAAGTCGCATCAAAACACAAATGGACCCATTAGCGATTTATAGCCTGCATTTGTCAATCACCTGTATTTGCCATGCCAAGCTAACCATAGTTGACCACTATTCAGCCACGGAGCGAACTCATGCATGGATTTTCTGAAAGAAGCCATGAAGCAGGAGAGCGCTGCTGTAGCGAATTAGACTCACAGGCAAGATGC